GAGCCTTTGGCACCTAGCTTCCTCCCTTTCTTATTCAAAATCTTGTTTGTTGTCAAAGACCACACAGTGTGGGTTGTGACCTGAGGCCAGGCCATTGGTGGTATGGTTGGTATCCCTAGGAAAGGTGATCTGATCAGGTTAGTAGGTCAGGACATGTAGTCAGTGAAGCTTGGTGGGATTTGGTACCACTAACTGAGCCCTTCGTACATGTGTTGTGCTCCCTGGGCAGGTGTGAGCTTAGTCCAGTTTCAAATGTAATGCATAGTATTTCTATAGTAGAACCTTAGATCAAGAATTCCATTGGGGGTGGGAAGGTGGCTCAGTGGTAGAGCGCTTGCCTTGCATGCATGAGGCCCTGGGTTCGATTCCTCAGCACCACATAAGCAGAAAAAGCCGGAAGTGGCGCTATGGCTCAAGTGGTAGAGCGCTAGCCTTGAGCTGAAGAGCCAAGGGACAGCGCCCAGGCCCAGAGTTCAGGCCCCCACAACCGGCAAAAAAAAAAAAAAAAGAATTCCAGTAAACTCAGATAGTAGTCAGAGGTAGGAATACAGCCCCATGGTAGAGTGTTTACTTAGCATGTATGAGGCCTTGAGTTCCGTCCCTGGCACTTCAAATAAGGTAAAACATAAGCCAGTAGCTATGAGCTTTAACCCAGTGAAGTAAGCTGTCCCCAGATGAGGAATCTTTTTTTTCTGCCAAGGGTCATTTGCATGTGATGTTAGGTGGAATTGGTAATGATGTGAAAAAGCTCCATGATTTATGGGATTCAGCGAGGTGTCTGCAGTGTCTGGCAGGTCTGGGCAGGTGCACAGCCGGGTGCCTTGCCTTTTTTTCTTTTTTTTTTTTTTTTCTTTTGGTCCTGGGCCCTGAACTCTGGGCTTGGGCACTGTCCTTCAGCTCAAGATTAGTGCTCTTACCACTTGAGCCATAGTGCCATTTCCGGCTTTTTCTGCTTATGTGGTGCTGAGGAATCGAACCCAGGGCCTTAGGCATGCAAGGCAAGCACTCTACCACTGAGCCACCTTCCCAGCTCTCCTGCCATATTTTATTTATTTTATTTTTTATTTTTCACGCTGAGGACTGAACTCCGGGCCTTGCGCTCGCCAGGCGGGTGCCCTTCCACTGAGCTAAACCCCCGGCCCCTTCTGCTATATTTTAAAAAACAAAAATGTGTTTATTACTGTGGCAGAAAATATCCTTCCTCCCCATCTTGGGAAGTGAAGTGAACCCAGGGACCTAGGGCTTGGAGCATGCTACTAAGTACACAGTCTAACACTCAACTACAACCCAGCCAGAAAATAAGGTCTTAAATCAGATCTAAACTTGGATCTTTCAAGGTTTGGGATTGTACTGACTCAATTTTAACCCCTAAAAGTTCTGGCCTAGGACATACTTAGGGACAATATCTTTTTTTTTTTTTTTGGTCGGTTGTGGGGCCTGAACTCTAGGCTTGGCCGCTGTCCCTCAGCTCTTCAGCTCAAGGCGAGCGCTCTACCACTTGAGCCACAGCGCCACTTCCAGTTTTCTGGTGGT